ACCCTCGCGCTGGGCAGCCCTGGGGACCGGGCGCCTGCAGCGCAGGCCGGGGCGCTGTGGCCGCTGCTGGGACGGGGTCGGGTGCTGACACCTCTGCTGTCCCGGAGACCATGTTCTCGTCGGGGGACGCAGACAGTAAACTTAAAATGTACCTTTAGTTAGAAGGTAAGGGCCAGGAGAAAAAAATATTGAAAAAGCAGAAGTGCAGGGGGGAGTGCAACTGGAGGAGGCGAGATATGAGCAAAGACTTGAGGAAGAGGGAGTGAGCCCCTCGTGTGGGTCGTTTTGGGGGTACATGAGGGCAGGACCAGTGGAGCAGGTCTCATAGGCCATTGTAGGGATTTGGGGTTGTAGTCAGTGACATGGGAAGCCTTTGGAACGTTCTGAGCAGAAGGTTGACATTTGTTTTTTTGTATAATAATAGGTTTGTTTTGGGTAGGCGTAACTGGCCTCATGCCCCGAGATGGAGCAGGTGCTGGGCTGCTAGATGTGGCTCATAAGGAATTCACGTGGGGCAGGTAGATTTGAAACCCTGGTAGCTGTCCAGGTGGAGGCGTGGAGCAGGCAGCGAACACCTGCGGTGGGTTTGGAGAGCTCCAGGTGGGAGAAATTTTCCTAGCTCTCCTTTTCTCCGTTTGGGTGAGGGTACAGGGTGAGGCATTGGTATTCCACACAACCAGTTTCCAGGAGCAGCTCAGCCCTCATCTGGTGGGGCTGCTGCTCTTCCTCTCCCTCCCCAGTGGTCCATGGGTGCTGGATGATCAGCTCCGTGCAGACACACCAGGAAAGCGGCTGCTGTGGGGATGTGCAGGGGTTGCAGGCGTGCATTTGTGTCCTTACAGTGATCACCTCCTCCTTGGCCTGGGCGCAGCGGTCCGGACTCCTCCAGCACACCCATGTTTTCCGAGCAGGCTGCCCAGAGGGCCCACACTCTGCTATCCCCACCATCAGCCAGCAACGCCACCTTTGCCCGGGTGCCGGTGGCGACTTACACCAACTCCTCACAGCCCTTCCGGCTTGGGGAGCGCAGCTTTAGCCGGCAGTATGCCCACATTTATGCCACCCGCCTCATCCAAATGAGGCCCTTCCTGGTAAACCGGGCCCAGCAACAGTGGGGTAAGTGACCAATATGGAGAAGTGCATCCTTCCCACCATCCAGGAGGTACCTGGGGTGTTTTAGAAATGTCCGCGAGACCTGGTAGAACTGGGACCTTTCATTTATCCCAGGGTTATGTTGAGACTCGGCATACCTCTCTTTCTAAGAATCAGTGCTATAATTTAGATATGAGGTAATACTCCGCATTAGTGTCCCGTGGCTGCTGTAACAACAAAGCCACAAACTGGGCAGCTTAAAACAGACACATTCTCTCCCAGTTCTGGAGTCCAGAAGCCTGAGGTGCAGGTGTCAGCGGGCTGCACTCCCTCGAAAGGCTCCAGGGGAAGGTCCTTTCTGCCTCTTCTAGCTCCTGGTGACTGCTGGTGTTCCAGGCTTGTGGCCCTATCCCTGCAGTCTGCCCTGTCTTCATGTCTCCTCCTCTGCATGTCAGCCTCTCCTGAAAGGATCCATTCAAGGCCCATCCACATCCCGAGTCCCTCTGTCCTCTTGGGGCCAAGTCACCCTTTAGGTCCAGGGGTCCTTGCCCTCAGTGATCTCTCCCTCCCAGCAGAGGCAGGGTCCCTGGGCTGCTGTGCTCCATGAGACCTTTTTCAGTGCCCTGTGGGGGGTGCCTGGAGGGCTGCCTGGTCTCTGAGCTCAGGTCCCTCCTGCGCAGGCAGTGGCATCCGAATAAAGAAGCTGTGTGAGCTGCAGCCTGGGGAGAAGTGCTGTGTGGTGGGGACCCTCTTCAAGGCCATGCCGCTACAGCCCTCCATCCTGCGGGAGGTCAGCGAGGAGGTAAGGCCGGCCAGCTCACATGTGCCTCCCCTAGAACACTTCCCTGGGGACACCAGTGGGCCACTTGCCTTGGACCCAGAGATTGGGGGCTGGGCCTTTGCCCCTTGGGGGCCGGGCTGTGAGACCATCTCCATGAGTAGGCACGGGAGCCCTGGTGGACTCTGGCCCCAAGACCTCCTCTCAACCTCTGCATTCCAGCACAACCTGCTCCCCCAGCCTCCTCGGAGCAAGTACATCCACCCAGATGATGAGCTGGTCTTGGAAGATGAATTGCAGCGTATCAAACTGGAAGGCACCATCGATGTGTCCAAGCTGGTCACAGGTGGGCAGTGGGAAGGGATGGCCTGTGCATCTAGGTGCTGGCACACACCTGCATATCAGGAGTCATGGGTTTGGGTTCAGGCAGTAGGGGTCCATTCTTTCTGCCTCTGCCTGAAGGCAGTTATCCCAGGAAGCAGGTCCTGAGTGGGAATTCACCATCATGGCAGAGAAGTGGCGGGCTTTGCCGTTCGGGTTCTGAAGGAGGTGGTCCCTTGGGCTCCCCTCCTGGGGCCTGACGCTGCTGCTCCCAGGGACAGTGCTGGCCGTGCTGGGCTCCGTGAGAGACGATGGCAAGTTCTTGGTGGAGGACCATTGCTTCGCAGGGCTTGCTCCTCAGACGCCTGCACCACCCCTTGACCTGGACAGGTAAGCAGGTGCTTGGGGTCCTGGGCAGTGGTCCAGGGGAATCACGGTCACTGGGCTCCATCTTCCTGCTCACCTGTGATGGTGATGGGGCTCCCTGAGTGACTCCATGTGGCGCACCTGGGGGCTGCCTGCTTTCATGGCACCCAGGAAGACCCTGCCTTCTGCAGGTTTGTGCTGCTGGTATCTGGTCTGGGCCTGGGTGGAGGTGGAGGCGAGAGCCTGCTGGGCACCCAGCTGCTGGTCGACGTGGTGACGGGGCAGCTGGGGGACGAGGGAGAGCAGTGCAGTGCCGCCCACGTCTCCCGGGTCATCCTCGCCGGGAACCTTCTCAGCCACAGCACCCAGAGCAGGGATTCCATCAATAAGGTATGGTGCCCGCCTGCCTGCTGCAGTCCCTCCTTCCCCCAAGTCAGGCACAGGGTCTTGCAGTTCTGATGGGCTGTGCCCTACAGTGATGCTGGGACTATCTCTGCTCGGGGACCGGTCCTGGCTCAGGCCCTGCCTTCTGTCCCCCTGCTGGGAGAGCTTTGCTGTGCTCCTAGCTCAGCAACCCAGGCAGGGGCTCAGTGTCCTTTTGATCTGATGCTCCCTTGGGGCCTCAGAGCCTATGGGTTCTACTCTTAGGCCAAGTACCTGACCAAGAAAACCCAGGCAGCCAGTGTGGAGGCCATCAAGATGCTGGACGAGATCCTCCTACAGCTGAGTGTGAGTTGGGGATGGTGAGAGATGGGGATTCAACACTTTGAGGCTGCAATTGTGCATGAGAATGCAGGTGGCAGAAGGAGAGACTGATGAGCTCTAGGGCTGTGTGGAGGGTGCCAGGCCCTGAAGCTCCCCTGCCCTGTGCTCTCTAGGCCTCAGTACCCGTGGACGTGATGCCAGGGGAATTTGATCCAACCAACTACACGCTCCCCCAGCAGCCCCTGCATCCCTGCATGTTCCCACTGGCTACCGCCTACTCCACGCTCCAGCTGGTCACCAACCCCTACCAGGCCACTATTGACGGAGTCAGGTAGCTGGCACAGCCTAACTCCAGTCTGGCCCGTGGCCATTGCTTCAGTGACACCAGGCGGGGAGGGTTGGGTTCAGGACCACAGAGAGCCCACCTCCATTGGCCTCTTTCTCAAGGGTGGCAGGGGACACCCCTCATGAGAGTACCTGGTGAGCTCCAGGCTGGCCTTGTGGAAGGAATACAGATGTCAGACCCCCAGGATGGGGGTCAGCCGAGCCTTGCCTTGCAGATTCCTGGGCACAGCAGGACAGAATGTGAGTGACATTTTTCGGTACAGCAGCATGGAGGATCACTTGGAGATCCTGGAGTGGACTCTGCGAGTCCGTCACATCAGCCCCACAGCCCCCGACACCCTGGGTAATGAGCAGGACTCAGCCATGTGGGGTGGAACCAAAGACCAGGGAAGGCCTGATGGGTTCCTGGCGTGGATTTGCCCTCGCTGGCCTTGCCACGAGGAAAAGCCCTAGAGTTTGATGCTGTCTGGGAGCGACCCTGAATCTAAGCCCCACTCTCAGCTATAGGCCCCCTTTCTCTAGGTTGCTACCCTTTCTACAAAAGTGACCCGTTCATCTTTCTGGAGTGCCCGCATGTCTACTTTTGTGGCAACACCCCCAGCTTTGGCTCCAAAATCATCAGAGGTGAGTTTTGTCTTCTGGGGGCCCCAGGCCTGGGCTGTCACAAGGGACTTGCTCTCAACTGGGGACAAGGCTTGGAAGAAAACCTACACTGGAGCCCCAGGCCCTGTGGTGTGCATGGCCCAGGCCCACCTGGCGCTGGCTAGCTGAGCATGCCAAGCAGGGGCTGAAATTGTCTGCGCCTATGTGGTGGTGTCAGAGCTCATCTCTGGTCAGCCTCACGTTAGCCTTTGACCTGTAAGGTGTCCTTAGCCCTTTCCATTTCTGGGCCAAAGGAGCTTGTGGTCAACACTTCCAGGTTTACTTGTGGTGACTTCCCTTGAGGCAGGGCTCGCCCAGAACCTAAAGCGGTCCCCATGTGGCTTGTTTGCAGGCCCTGAGGACCAGACAGTGCTGTTGGTAGCAGTGCCAGACTTCAGCACCACGCAGACGGCCTGCCTTGTGAACCTGCGCAGCCTGGCCTGCCAGCCCATCAGCTTCTCGGGCTTCGGGGCCGAGGATGACGACCTGGGGGGCCTGGGTCTGGGCCCCTGAGTGAGGAGGCAGCCTGTTCAAAGAGGCCCCAGCCATTGCCCCTGCAGTGTCAGCACTGCAGCTGCTTGTCTTTGCAAATAAAACCTGACTGTTAAGTGGTGTTGATCTCCTGGGCAGACCTGGGGCTGGGGCTGGGGCTGGGCCAGCGCCCTCCTGTGGAAGGAGCCCACACTGAATAATACTGCCTCCCTCCCCCCCTCCCCAAGCTGGTCAGAAGGCCAGGGGTCAGTGACATGTGTGCCATGAGCTTGTTTATTAGTGTGGCCTGGGCTGGCGATTGAGAAGCCTGCCCCACCTCTGCCTGCAGCGGTCTGTCGTCTCTCAGGCCGGCAGGCAGTCCAGGAGCCTGGCAGACCCTGGCTCTTCTGTGTTGGTTACATGTGTGCCCACACCAGGGGGGCCTTAGTGTGCTGATGGCTGCTGAGCTGGCGGCTACGTGACCCCTGGTGCGGGCTCTGGCATTTTCAGACCTGTTCTCAGAAGTCCCCAAAGTTCACTGTGTAGGTCTCCACTGTGGTGAAGGGGAGCTCGGGGCCCGTGACCATCTGCTCCTCCCCCTCCTCCCCCTCCTCCTCCGGCCCAAACTCAGGCCCCAGCTCAGTCCCAAACTCCGTTACCACCTCCGTGTAGGTCTCAGTCTCAGACTCCTCCCAGTCAGCTGTGGTCTCAGGTTGAAAGCGCCAGGGCCCCAGGGTGGAGCTGGGGACAGGAGAGGGGGCAAGGGAAAGGGTGGGGACCAACGCGGGGGGAAGCGTGGGGGGCAGCGCGGAGGTGGTGGCTGGGCCCGCGGTGGCGTTGAGGCGGCGGAGCCGCATCTGTTCACGCATGCGCAGCCGGTACTGCAGGCGCCGCTGCTGCAGGCGCCGCTGCTGGGGGGTCATGGGGCGCGAAGGGTCGATGCGAGGGATGGGCCGGTTCCCGTTCATGGCCAAGATCTCCCGGATGCGTTTCCAGTTGGAGCGCGCCAGGATGAAGTTGCACTGGGTGGCCCCGATGTCATAGTCCACGTTGCAGGTCTTGGCGCTCGGCGTGTAGCCCTCCGCCTGGACCGTCACACGGTACTCCCCGGGGTTCAGGATGCGCCAGTAATCGCCACCGCTGGCTGCAGAGGGGGGACGGGTCCAGCTGCCCGAGAGCACCCCCTCCCAGCCCCCGGCCCCCA